GAAGATATTTTTTGCAGTGTTAAGTTGTTGTTTGTTATGCAGACGAGTAATAAAAAAAGGACAGTACAACACAAGAGTGTTATTTGAAGCCAACCTGCTACCTACTAGGCTCAAACAGGCAGGATTCATTTTTTCCAAGAGGAGATAGATTTAGACAACAATCTGTATTTTCTGTATTTCATACAGAAAAACATTACAAATTACTAATATTTATAGAGGGAGAGAGATACAAAAAGCAAAAGAGAAGGCTTTGTCAGAAAAATAGAAGAAAATATTTTGCAAGTAGTTCCTCAGGCAAGGACATGCTATTTGAACCAATAAATTGAAAACAGGCAGCCTTTTTTGTTGAATGTTGATACAAAATCATTTGTCAGCAACAGTGATGACAGATTGCAGGAATCTACGGCTCCTATTAATGATTAGCTCCGCGGAAAAATTAACAACTGTCACACACAAACAGCATAAGAATGTTTTCAAAATAAGCTATCTTTAAAAAAAATGCTGATATTTTTCTAGATAATCACTGTACAGCCAAATGGAATATTCATCACCTATCAGGAGGTTGCTAAGACATGCTACTGCTCAATTTGCAGCAATACTGTTGATATGTTTTCTACTATGAGGCAAGGAGAATGATTTGTTTCCATTACCTCCCTTCCCTATTATTCACACAAGCTCCAGTACTGCTGGGGAAGAGACTTCAGGAAGACATGCAGTGCAGCATATGACATAACACAAGACTTCCAAATATAAAATATGTGAGTTCAAACCTTGATTATGACAATTAGTGAAATAATTCTGATAATTTCAGCCTGCTATTCATACACATTTTACTAACTGATACTTCAGAAAGAGAAGGGATCATAATAACAGAAGTATGCAGAAGTAAAACAAAGAATGACATAATTTTAAAACCAAAATAAAGCTAATTCATAGCGGAAAGCTTTTGAAATTAGTTTTATTAAGAACATGCAAAGATCATCCTGGAGGAACCAAGTTATTTTGTCTTCACCTCAAACAGGAACTGATACTATTACAGTCACCAAGACATTGTTATTCCTGTTTAATCCAAAATCGCCAGTTTATGAGCAGTAGGATCTGTGAATGACTTTCACTCAGTGATTTCTAAACAGCAAATCATTTTGTCTTACTCAAGATGACCTCTATGTTCTGACAGTAGGAAAACTTGCATTATACAAAGACCCAAGATACCCAGAAAGCCTGTGTCACACTATGTGCTTACACCAATACTGATGAATTTCTGCTTCCAAGTTACTTTTCAGTCCACTTATTCAGTAAAATAAATAATTACTGATATATTTATGAGAACAGCTTAATTTCTATGACATATCCAAAAGGTAATTCTCTGCTGAATGAAAAAAAATTACTTAGTTCAGTAATTTTCTACTCAATTGGCCTCACACACATCAATCAGACAATCTAGGAGCTTCCCAAAGCAGAGTTCCAATCCAAACTACATCAAACAAACTTTTAAGAGAATTCTGAATTAATACAAATGAAAATTCAGTTTGTTTACTTGGGCAATAAACACAGCTAGTCAGCTAATTTTATCAGTGGTCTGCTCACCTTGTGGGTTTTGCTGTACGTGTACAGATATGCCAGTCTGTAGAGGCTCTTGTAGTGCTGGGGAAAGCGGCTGAGACACAAACAGAAGGAGGCAATACACTGCTCTGTCAGGAACTTCCGCTGTTCCTCAAGGTCTGCTGGAAGACCATGAGGAAATTCAGATGCATCCCCACAAGGTTCAGCTTTCTTTTTGCAGTCCCACTGTGAGGGTGTGGGGACTGCAGCTTTGATGGGATTGCCAGAAGCAGACTGAGGGTCCACCAGAATTTTTTGGCCAGTGGGTTCAACAGGATGGTAAGATTCTGAGCTCTCCAGCAGCTCTTCTGACTTCCCTGCAACTGGAACATTAAGAGAAGACAAAAGTGACAATGAAAATTACAAAATGGCAAAAGTTAAGAATACAAAATGACTAAAATGAAATACAACAATGGTAATCCTTTTCTTCATTAAAGCACAGACAGAATTATTGAGTGGTTCCTGAAAAAAATTATGACTATTCCTATGTTCAAAGAATAAGTAATCTTCAGCTCATTAACAAACAGAGCCACAGACTGATCTCTCCATTGTCTTTCTTTGGGTTTTTCCCTGAGCAATAGTAAGAATTCAGCACACCTTATGCAATTCAGGATTTTATATACTGTTGGAAGATGGGGGAGGATGGGGGACAACAACAAAAGTGTAAATTCAGTAAAATTGTATTGCAAATAAAGGAAGAAAGAACAAAAAATTAAAGCTATCCTACCAAGTGAAATGTATTATTCTTAAGAATCTACCTAGAAGAGCACAATTCCACAATACAATTTAGGCTCAGACAGAATGATTAGCAGCAGCTAACCTGGCCTTCTGGATAACGTAGGACCTACAGTTCCATCGAAATATTTCTGCGATTAACTTGGTAACTCATAGTTCATGAGTTACCCATCTCAACCCATCTTTTCTTGAAGGATACCAAATCTTACTTCAGAAAACATCTGTGAGAGTGGGAGCTTCCATGTTTCCTGTTAGCTAGTCATTATTGCCAAAAACATGCATGCTACATTAATTTAGATTAGATACATTAATTTAAATTAATTTTCTTAAGTTTGATTTTTAGTCATGGAAGTTCACTGTGTCTCTGTCTTTGCCAAGATGAAAAGCCTCTGACATTAGATCTCATCTCCTAGCAGGCTAGAGATATACTAAAGTATACTTCATCCTCAAGTACAAAGCTGCTTCTTAACTTCCTCTCTAAGGCTGAACTTTGAGTCAAACATAGTTTCCAGAACAGAAATTTTTCAAAATTTGCTTACACAATCTATGTGTCCATTATAAATTTACTCTACATAGAGCTTTATGGAACAATACAACGTTTGTTCTAATAAATATCAGTAATGTAAAAATGCATTCAATACAGTTTTTCTGACAGACAACTGGTGACAATAACACAACTCCCTACAAGCCTGAAAGAGAGCCATGTATTTAGTTTAGTACCCAAAAAATTACTGGATTTAGTGATTATGTAAGTACTATTTTACAAAGCTAGGAACTGGCATCTGTTTCACCATATTGATGCAAACATCACCACAGACTTCCCTAGCTTAGGCAAGACTGAAGTAAAATATTCTTAAAAACAAAAAATAAAGCTAATCCAAGTCTGTGAACAATAAGATGACTGGTCGGCAGTTGTTCCTGTTGAGATCAGTGAAGTGAATCAGGGCTATCCACGTGCCATGGTTTCCTGATCTATGAAGCTGTAAAAAGACTAAAGTATAGTGTGAACTGGTAAAAAAGACTTAACAACCCACAAAGGGCCACAGCTCAGAAAG